CAATTAGTATAATGAAGCCCACGTCTGAAATATTTAGCAATTTAATTAAAATTATAATAACCGAGCATCGTACGGGCATTTGGTCTAGTGGTATGATTCTCGCTTTGGGTGCGAGAGGTACCGAGTTCGATTCTCGGAATGCCCCAGTTTTATCCTATTTTTGGTTTAAATTATCATTTTTAACGTAGTTTGGCGTTGGTCCTGTGATCTTTCCCAAAGTCAACTGCACTGCAATAGGAAAGTTCCAAGACCGTACATAATTTTTTTAAGACAATACGTCCGAAATATGTAGAAATTTAATTAAAATTATAATAACTAACCTGAGCATCGTACGGGCATTTGGTCTAGTGGTATGATTCTCGCTTTGGGTGCGAGAGGTCCCGAGTTCGATTCTCGGAATGCCCCAGTTTTATCCTGTTTTCGGTTTAAATTATCACTTTTAACGTAGTTTGGCGTTGGTCCCGTGATCTTTTCCAAAGTCAGCTGCACTGCAATAGGAAAGTCCCAAGACCGTACATAATTTTTTTAAGACAAAAAAGATGGTGGAATTGATAAGCAAATAAGCATTTGGTCAAGAAAGATCAAAAGTCTAAAAACATACCTTTGGACACGGCAAAGCAATCAATGCAAGACCATTAGCCTCTGAACCTGCCAGAATGGACATAAACACATTTCAAGCGGAAGTTCAATTCCTCAATAAAAATGATTGTGCTTTTTCCCTTATAATTCTGGTAGTGAGAAATCCTAAAACCATCAAGGAGACTGCAACTCCTTTTTTCTGCTAACATATTATAAGTTTTTCCTGCTAATAACCTTACACCGGGACAAACTGAGATCTAAACCTTCAAGCTTGCAAATGCATTAGTAGCAGAAATTTCGCATGTTGAGTATCACCAACTGGGCATTTGGTCTAGCCGTATGATTCTCCTTTGGATGCGAGAGGTCCCAAGTTATTATTTCTAACCATACGACATTTTTTTTATCCATCTTAAAATGTAGCAAGACAACAACATGAAAACAATGATATAATATTTTGATCTGCAGATATATTAGTTTCCAGACAAGATTCTAATCCACTGAACTTAAAAAACCAGATAGCTGTGGATGTTAATGACAGGGTGGTCAAGCCAGAAATATCTCTGCATCAAACAAGTATTCAGTATAATGACCGCATGTATATCTGAGTTCCAGTTCATCTACACGGTGGAAATTACCTTTAAAAAGCCTTTACACCCAAACCAACCAGGAAAGTGAAAAATGCAATGAATGAAAGACCGATACCCATATTTCACTAGCAGAGTAAATAATTAGAAAAACACCCAGTGAACATTAGCAAATGGGCATTTGGTCTAGTGGTATGATTCTCGCTTAGGGTGCGAGAGGTCCCGAGTTCAATTCTCGGAATGCCCCATGTTTGTTTTGCTAATTAATTCTTTAGTTCCCATGATATATTCCAGTTTGAAATATTTTAGCCAAGGAAACTAACCTAAAATCAATTCTCATGGTAAATATCGAAGGACAGGAAAAAAGAAAAAAAAAAAAAACTGTAATGGCACAATCTCACCTCATTTATCGGGAAAAAGAAGCCCTTTTTGCAGGGTTAAGTAAACACTAAACCCAACCAAATGGCAGCACTAACACACAATCAAATGTATAGACATTGTAGTGATGCATAGCCATTTCATCCCTATCCCATATTTAAAACATGTTGCATTGCATCAACAGCAAGCCATCTAGTCAGAAACTTCATTCACACAGATTCAACTTCATTCAAGAAAGAAAAAAAGATTCATGACACTTAGCATCCCTCTAAAAGAATTTTAGTTGCTTGGCATGATTTCTCCTTAGTCTAATTGATTAATAAATTTATTACAAATTAAAGACAACAGTAAATGGGCATTTGGTCTAGTGGTATGATTCTCGCTTTGGGTGCGAGAGGTCCCGAGTTCGATTCTCGGAATGCCCCAGTTTCATACCGTTTTTTGGTCTCAAGAAATCATGTGAAACCTGATTTGTTATTGCCAGCATATTATTTTTCGGGGGTGGGTTTCCAATATTAATTTAAATAATTTGACTCCATGATCTTTCTCAAAGTCAACTGCACTGCAATGTGAAAATTCCAAAAACTCTCTCCAAGGAATTGACCTTGTACATATAAGCATTCGATCATTAAATCAAGTAGTAAAATCAAGAAATATACCTGTGGCCTCGTCAATCAATGCAGAACCACCAGTCTCAACCCTTCAAGATGGTGCGAAAATGCATATCAACAAACAACCCAGCAAGGTTTAGAAAGGTCGAGTTATGCCTGCATCATGTGTGATGAGCTAAATATCAATATTTAATGATTAATGTAAATCTTTGGTTCCCAGGAAGTTAAAGTCCATATAGTTTTTGGTTCCCATGCAGGTTCAGATATTTTAGCAAAGAACCTAAAGTCAACTCTAACAGAAGAGCATTATATTTTATGGAAAATCTAGATGTATATTTTTTTCTAGTAAGATTCATTACCAATAAAATGATCAATAAATAAGTAGACTCTGCTGAAATCAAGGTATGCAAGCTAGGCTCACACCTATCACTAGCATCAGACATTGGAGAGAAGTCATTTACCTGAACCTGCCAAATGGTGTAAGAGGATGCAAAGCGTTCAGTAACTCAATTGACATGACAAAATAAGAGAACAGAAACATACCCAAAGCTACAATTAATGCAAGAGGACATGCTAGACCACGGGAAAGAATTCGAAAGTCAGCTTGTATATGTACACATCAAAAGGTTCAGTCTCTTGGGCAAGAAATCTCAGTGATTGGCTTTCTGCCAGGTTTACTGTCAGCTCAGTCTTTCCAAATAACTAAAACGATAGGATATATAGTTTAATGTCAACGATCTATATGCTTTCCATCAACACATTTTATAGCATGAGTTTTTCTGTTTTGGCAAACATTCAACTCAATGCAGTAGAGCCTGTTAATGTTCAGAAGGAAAAGAAAATCATATGAGGAACCTTCATTGATATAAATCATAGTTTAAGAATCAAGAAAGTATCTCATTCGGTTAGTGAATAAGAAAATATGTGGTTAGATAATCCAAAGTGATTCGGGTAAATTCTCAGGTTGGGTGCAAAGCAACCAATCCCAGAATAAAACGGCCCATTTTCCTGTTTCAGGAATTAAAGGGCCATATAGGTTTTGCTTTCCTGGATCATAGATGGCATTTGGTCTACTGGTATGATTCTTGCTTTGGGTGCAAGAGGTCAAGAGTTTAATTCTCAGAATGCCCCATTGGAATCATGCTATTCATGACAGGATGAAACCAGAATTTTTTGGTTACCTCGATATTTACAGAATAATTAAAGAAACACAGAGAATTAAATCCCAACTTAGCCCACAAAGAATAAATTGATAGAGTTGACCACTGAGATGGGCATGCAAGAAGAAACCAGAGACATTATTTTACAGCACACTATTCATGTTCAGGTGCAAAAATCATTTTAGAAGAGAAGCTCCACTGCAGATTTGATTGGTAAATGATTCCAGAAAAATAACAACATTGACGAGTGTCTGATTTACTACAGCACCAAAATATGACATGGAATGGACTGCACGGGTGACAAAAATGAACTGGACACTGCCTTGAAACAACACGATAAAATTTAGGCTTCGTAAATGAACATAACCTGTAGCCTGATTAGGTCCAAAAGGCCCTCGATTTTGCCCACCCCTTCTGCCAAAACACAGACATTAATGAAGTTGATGGAACTTCACAGAGCATGCCAATGAACTTTTAGTTTTGCTGACCCTGATTTGATGTTCTATTAAAAAGTGATGGTCGAGTATAAGTGGCAAGACAACCATCAGTCGCAAACTCAGATAAACTACGACATCCAGCATGAAACATAAAACAACAAATTCACAACTTTTACTACATACAGCCACAACATTGAGGGAAAAAATACATGGGAAAAAAATAACATAAAAGAATATGCAGCCAGGCTTCTAATCCAACATTATAACTGACACCAAACAAAAAGAAAAAGGTTTTTCAATTAAAAATTACACAAAAACAAAACCCAGAAAAAAGAGTCAGGCAACTTAACATGGAAAAGGCTGCAACCCAGAAGCTTCGAAGAGTTGCCCAGTATTATCTTTATAAACAAAACAATCTATGAGGACAGTAAACCTACATAGCTAACAAAAGTAACCATAACCCACAAACTGTCACTACAAGGTTTCGCATGTCATACCTTTAATTTGCCTACTCAATCATACTCTATAATTTTTAAGCCAGGGGGAGAGAGTGTGAGGGTAAAGAGTTTGTAATTACTATACAGGCCTAGCTTGAATATGTTCTATGGGAGATGTCAGCGTTGGTTCAACGTCTTAAGAAATAGAGAGAGGAGTTCAGATGATAAAATAGGAGAGAGAAGAGGGAGACAAAAAAAGGTATGTCGACAATATATTATCAACATATATTATATTATTAGAAAAATCCAACGACATAATTTTAATTATATTTTAAAAGATTATCAACAAAATTATAAGATATAATTAGAATTATTTTATTAAAATCTTTATAATATCGGGTATATCAAAAAAGAAATTCTAATATATCTTCCATAACTTATTTATTTATCATTTTTTTCACATATCATATCATCTTATTTTCTTTTTATATATAAAAAGCCTTATCTAACTATTAAATTTTTATAAATTTTAATTTGATTTTTATTCAGATTAATTAATTTGAATGAAAGATAGATTTTGAGACAATTACAATAGTTGTTCATAGTTGTTCATGGTTGTGTTTAAACTTCCCTAATACTTTTCTAGCTAGTGTTATTTTATCAAAATTAACTAAAATATTAAAACATGTGGGCTAAATATTGTGAAGCCAATATTGTTCATACACTCATAAAATATTGAAGATATACTGTGTAATTTTTAATAATTTATTTTAGTTTCTAAAGTTTTATTTTGAATGATTTAATTTTAATTGCAAACCAATTGCTTTTGATTTTTGAATGATTTAATCTTAATTGCAAACCAATTGCTTTTGATTTTTTAGGTAATGGTAGAATTGAAAGGAGAGGGATCAAAATGAAAATGACATAAAACATGGGTGGTGTGCTAATTTTTTTTTAAAAAATACATTTAAGTTCTTAAACTTTTGAAAACAATGGAAATTATATAATTTAGGTTCCTTTAGATTTCACAAAAATCAATTTTTGTATAAAATTTTATTTATAATATTTTTTAATTCTTGGTTAGAGCAATGAGAGAGAGAAGAGTCATCAAATTTCAATGATAAAAGAAAAGGTCGTCGTTTAAGCCATTTCTAATCACTAAAAAGGGTCTTTTGGTATCCATCGATTTCATAAGATGAAAAGGGCCCGATAGTGGTTGTTTAAAATCTCAATGTTGTTTGAAAAAAATAAATCTAGACCAAGAAAGATAAATCTAATTAAATTTAATTTTGCATTTTTGGACTACTTTGTAGGTATTTTGAGTTGAAAAATTGGTTTATGGGTATTCCAAAGATGGACATGAGGTTTTGTTTTTGGTTAAAATGACTTAAAAATTAAGTTTTTTGGATTAAAAAAGCACTACCCCAATTACCCCGCCACCAATAGGTGGCTAAAATTTGGCTTTACAAACAACATATCATCAACATATTCTTTTTTTTATAAAAAAATAACCTTTTAAATATATATATATATATATATAAAAAAAAAAACCAAGCCCAAGAGCTTGAGAGCTTGAAGGTCCACCTACGCACCTCAATTTATCATTGCAATGGCTCAGGCCCGCTGTGCCATGAGCTCGAGATGTTTCTTGGTCTTTTTTTGTATTTTTAAGGTTTAATATAATATTTTTAAAACAATTATTAAATTTGGTCGATTTCATGACCAGAGCACCAGTTTGGCAAGTTAAGTCACAATATTTAGACTTTTTTTTTTCTAATATTACTTTTTTAATTGATATCTTTTTTCTTAAATAATTTTTAAATTTATTTTTCAAGCAATATCTCTCCTCAGTGTGCTATTTTTCTTTTTATTTAACAATTTTTAGATAGAGATTTTTTTTAAAGATATTATATATATTTAATTTTTAAAAAGATTATTTAGAGGCATAGGCTGGCGAGAACTGAGGCTGTCTAAAATGACTTAAAAATTAAGTTTTTTGGATTAAAAAAGCACTACCCCAATTACCCCGCCATCAATAGGTGGCTAAAATTTGGCTTTGCAAACAACATATCATCAACATATTTTTTTTTTATAAAAAAATAACTTTTTAATATATATATAAAATCAAGCCCAAGAGCTTGAGAGCTTGAAGGTCTACCTAGGCACCTCAACTTATCATTGCAATGGCTCAGGGTGTGCCATGAGCTCGAGATGTTTCTTGGTCTTCTTTTGTATTTTTAAGGTTTAATATAATTTTTTTAAAAAAATTATTAAACTTGATCGAGTTTATGACCAGAGTACAAGTTTGGTGAGTTAAGTCACAACATTCAGATTATTTTTTTTCTAATATTACTTTTTTAATTGATATCTTTTTTCTTAAATAATTTTTAAATTTATTTTTCAAGCAATATCTCTCCTCAGTGTGCTATTTTTCTTTTTATTTAACAATTTTTAGATAGAGATTTTTTTAAAAGATATTATATATATATTTAATTTTTAAAAATATTATTTTGAATCATCTATAATTTTTTTAATCTTTTATATAGATGAAATTTATTTTTAAAAATAAAAAATATTTTCTTTTAAATAATATTTATAATATATGAAACCTTGTATAATATTATTTTATTTTATTTTATTCAATTAATTTAATATGTGTATCTATTTCAATATTTTTTAATTAAATAAATAAATATTTTTAATAAATAAATTCAACAAGCACAACTAGATAGATATCTCATGTTTTCAGATTAAATATCTTAATTTATATCTGTTTTTTTAGTTATTATTAATGAATGTTTTCACCGTTTATTAACCTCCATAAATTTTTTTTATTTATTTCATTATATATATGCATGATTTTTTTATTTATATATTTTTTATGTATAAAATTACATTAAAAAAAGTTAATATATACAATATTTTTATAAAAAAAATATTTAATCTACGATGTTCAAATAACTAGTTTTTTCCATTTTAGAATGGTAAAAGACACCACTTTCGAATGCTACAGTTTTTATAGTACCAGGTTAATTTGTACTTATAAAGCGATAGTTAAACTAAAAGGTAGGCCCAGTACCATGCTGTATTATTAAGAGGGTTGTAGCTTTAAAGTAGGTTTGAAAATACGGTACATATTATTTATTAAAATATTTTTTATTTATAAATATATTAAGATAATATATTTTTATTTTTAAAAATTTATTTTTAATATTAGTATATTAAAATAATTTAAAAGCTGAGTCTAGCGAGGGACTAGGCTGCCGCACGGGTTTATTCGCGTAGCAAAAAATTACCCCGTGACACTAGCGGCTCATAAATGTCATAGTTAAACCCAACCTAAACGATTTCTAGTAAAGTCATAATCACCATCCCCCTCACATTCCTTGCCGCAAAACGAGAAAGCTAGTTCTTTCAATCGGGAAAGACGCCAGTTAAAATAGTTGATGTTGTTTGGCGAAAATCAACTACCCTCAAGATAGATTTGTTATATTTGTGGCATGATTTCTTTAAAATCAAACCTTTTTACGAGTCCTTCAACTTGCATGAGGCCATGGGTGTTTAGAGTTTAGACCGCAGCCAAAAATAGGTGAAGCCAACAGGTGTGCCATGCACGCACAGCAACTATTCCACAGGGAATATACAACCACCAGCTGAAGGCAAGTACCAGCGCCTCAGAGAAATACAAAACTGACGACATAAGCAAAATCCATTATTCCATTCAAAACCACTGAGTAGCAAGTTTGCATTCGGAAATCACACCAAATATTGATTAATATTCACATATAAAAATCAAACCAGTAAGCAACCAAACAGCATACTGGCGAGTCAATAAAACTTGGATGTGAACTCAAATGATACATGCAATGACTAGGCCACAAGGAGAAAATAAATAAAGACAATGATCAGGCATCGATAACCCAGTTAGACATGGCGGACAATTTAAAAAAAAAATGAAAATGAACAACTCAAAAGCATAACTGCGACAGTGAAAGGTACAGGAACTGATGCTCAATTCTTCGATTTTGAATGTTTTACAAGCCAGTCAATAACTGTGTCGATGTTGGTTGAGTTCTTGCATGATATCATGTAGCAGCATACTTCTCTGTCGGTGATGGACTTAAGCCCCCTGCACAGAATAACATTATTCATACCATAAAATGCTCTGAAAACAGATAATACAAAAGCGTTTGACAAGCCTCCTAAATGGATCTTAAGATATTTAGTTGAAGCTTACATTTGTTCCATGAAATCTTCCTTGGACAAGGCTCCTGGTTTGTCAATCTTATTTCCCAGTACCAGCAAAGGGATACCACTCAGAGAGGGTTTACTTAAAAGATCGTGGAGTTCACTTCTCGAGACAGATAAATTATCAAAATCAGCAGCATCCACAACATATCTGCAAGAAAATCAGAGAAAACAAGTAATATAAATTACTAAGCTCATTTACCAGACAGTTGAATGCAGAAGAAATCTTATCCATAAGCAAATCTTCACCATGTGCACCAACATTCACTAATTTAACTAGTTTGCAGCCCCCACACAACTAAAATGGTACATTGTAATCCACTTGCTTAGCTTTGAAATACAGAGGTGCAGATGCAACAGAAAGAGTGGGATAAACATAAACCATGAAGTAAATGAAAGGCAAACGTGAAATTGCAACTCTTTTATTGAGGGCACTGTATGAATAGGATCTTCTATTAGTCCAAAATCCCATCCAATAACACTATAAAAGCATTTAAAAAGTGACCAGAAATTTCTATGGGAGATTAAAATCCACCAAAAGACCAACAAAACACATGTTTTATTTCACATAGGGAAACAAACAAAAGAAAAAAATAAAATACAAAATGTCCTCCGCAATTAATAATAAGCAATGGCCATTTTTAAAACTAATATAATGAGAATTCCCAAGTTCGAAGACAGTTTTATAAGAATATTAAAAGTGTGAGACATACACAATGGCTGAAACTGCACGACAATATCTCTCCCACATACTGCGGAACCTTGGTTGACCTCCAAGATCCCACAACTTTATTGTGACATTGCCTTTTGTAACCTTCCTCATGTTAAATCCAACCTGTAGGAAAAAAGAGGTGACTAAAATGTCAATAGGATTAACATCATCATGAAGTAAAAAAATATTGCAATTTGATTGAAAGCTTCTCAGGTATAATTTTCCTCGTAATGGAATGACAATTTTTGAGATAATGGCATACTGTTGGGATCATGTCTTCGCTATATCCACCAGTCTAGAATCAACAAGCCAGAAACAAAAATACAGCCATCAGCATCAAAACCAAAGTAGAAGAGAAGCGTATAAAATATATATCACAACTCTCACAAGAACTTTTACTTACAGCGATAACATTTACAAGAGAAGTTTTCCCGGCATTCTGAAGTCCTATAAGAGACAGCTCCATTTCTTGCTTGAAAAAGAGACTATAAACACATTAGAGAAAACAGGTTAGATAGAAAGATTCAATTATGTGTAAAAGTCTCTCCAGGTTAGAAACCAACGGAAAAGATGAGCAGCAAGGATAAATGTGTTCATTTCAACCCAGACAGCCTGGCAATAAATATAGAGAAACTCCCAATTTAAGAATGAACATTCATGCCATCCATCTCAATATTGGAGATACGGACAATCAAATACAAATGAACAATCTGCCTTGAAGCATAAGGCTTCACAAAAAATAACTTTCCGTACAGAAAAAAGTCTTTAAAGCCCATCCAAAAAGAATAAGAGCAAAAAGGCCAGTGGATATAGCATGGTTTATAGTTCTCATGGAATATTTTTTTCATAGGAACAGTTGAAAAAATAAATGAATTTCAAGCAGAAGGGTACATGACTTGAGTATCAAAATCTTTTCGATTATCTTAACAACCAGTAATCTGTTCAACACAAGTGGAACTTTTTCTGATTGTCTCCCCGCATGGAAAATCAGAAAGAAGCATAAACAAGACTTGAAAGCAAAGACAAAAACAGTGTGGAATAAACAAGACATATAAGTGTGTGCTGTGGTAGTTTTTGCGGTTACGGTTTGAAAAAACAGGTTTAAAAAAAGCTATAAATAGCAGCTTTTTCTTAACCAAGTTTTAAAAGAGAGTTTTCAGTGAAACCATGTAAAACTGTGGTGTGTGTTAATTAACCAAACACTTTCAAAACTGTGATTGGAATAAGAAGTAGTTTCAACCACACCTCACCATACTACCAAACAGACCCACGCCAGCATCTTTCCTTTTTTCACACTTATTACAAAAAAATTTCTATAATTCAGCACAGCCATAACATTACAGCTTCAAATTTTCTAAATTTTTTTAACAACAATGGCAATTGATGCTGTTGTTTTCTTCCTTCACAAATCAATGCTGCTCCGGTTCAAAAACTCATCGTATCAGGTTCATGGAGCTTTAGTGAAGCTAAACTTAAGACTTTTAAGCTCATAATAATCCAATCATCATATCGTGTGCATTCAGACTATATCATTGCCCTTATTCTCATCATCATTACAGCCGTCTTTACCACCATAAATTAACACACCTCATAGTAATGAATTGATGGCATGACAATTACATTAACAACACCCCCTTTCTACCATCCCAATCGCAACAACCACTGCCACAACAGCAATACCACAAAAGCCTCGCAATTCCTCCATAGTTCCACTCTTGCAGCCAAGGTCACCCAGAAAAACAATTAAAACTAATTCCAGGTGTTGAAAATCAAGTATTCCATCCTATGATTCGTATAACCGAATAACCCGTAAAACAAATTCCACAGACTCCCTCCAAATAAATTACACAAGAAATCCAAAGTTCACATAAATCCCATTAGATTTCCCAATTAAATTATATATAAAAAAAAATTGAGCCTTTTCATTAATGGTTTAATTTGACAGTAAGCCTATCAATTAATATCAAAACCCAAATAACCATTGAAACCAATTTTTAAGTCACAATTCCCCAATAATCAATCTTTACAAATAAACCAAACAGCAAAAAACAAAAAAAAAAAAGTTCCAAACTTTCTCAGCATCCAAACAAACACAAAGATAAAAGGATCATACCTTCGTAGCCAATTGAGAAAAGCTTCCCATAACCCCATCTTTTTAGGTCCCAATTCTAGAAATTAGGGTTTGAAATCGAAGCTATAAGAAGAAGGAAAAAAGGAATGATTTGTACTTTGCTAAGAGAGGAGAGAGAAGATTAGAATTAGAGGTACAGACAGACAGTTGTTTTGGCTGTTTTTTTTCCTTTTCATTTATTGAAATCTATTTCCCTCCCTGTTTCTTTTAAAAATAGAAACGCCAGATAATAATAATTTTTCCACGCGCTGTCAAAGAGAGTGGTCAAGTTGAACCGGTTTGTACACCTTTAGCTCGCGTAAGAACCTCATTGGTGATGTACGTGCACGCGCTGAGGTGAGATGGGGAGAGAGGGTGCGAAATGTAGTGACACGATTACTTTAGTGCTGGCCATTTTTAAATCCACGCGATTTGAAAGAGATTGGTCAATTTGAACCAATTATAGTGGTGGCGGAAGGTGTAAGTGTACTGTTGGAGAAGTACGCGCACGCGCTAGTGATGAAAATGGGGGGTTTAGTAAAACCATGACGTGGAGTACTGGAAGAAAGGATTTGACTTTTTTCCACTTCAGCATAGGCTGGCTACCGGCCAGGTTCTTAGTTCGTAGTTGCGATCTCCAGGTTGTCCGATCAGCGGACCGACCAAGACAACTGATTGGACCGACATTTATTTGCTCTCCGCCAAATTTTTTTCTCAAACCGAAAATTAAAACATTGAGCTTCGTTGGAGCACATGACAATTTTATAATCATGGGACATTGCATACCATGTTCCTATGATTATAAAATTGTATGTTTTTATAGCATTTTAACTAGATGTGAGGCCCCGCGGGTAACAGCTGTTATAATAGCTTTGTGATTCAATTATTTGAGAATATAAAGCCAAAAATGGAGGGAACCTTTCTCCAATCATTGTTCTTCGTCCCAAGTCATGAGAATGAATAATTACATATTTAATACAACCAAAACGTTGAGGCTTTGTTGCCTGATAATGTACTCCAAAACACCAATTTGCAATACTGATCATGACAACATTGTTGAAATTTGTAGGCAAAGAACACTCTTTTCTTCTTCTCTACACTAAAAACAAGTTATTTGGAACTGCAACGTGTTTTATAATTTTTTAAATTAATTTTTTCTGTAATTTTAGAATATTTTAATATATTAATGTCAAAAATAATTTTTTTTTAAATATATTATTTTAATATATTTTCAAAACATTAAAAAATATTTATTACCACATCCACACATTATCAATATAATATACTTATCTAACAAAAACTAATTAGATCTTCAAATTAGTAGATTGATTATTAACATTATATATACTTTAACATTTTCTTTTATTACGATATAAATATCCTGAACAATTTGATAAAAGCCAGGCACATCATATTCCTAAGTTGTTAAAGCTTTGTATAACATTAAAGTTATCTGGAAGAAGAAGGATGGTTGTGTGAATTAAAAAGAGAGAATAAAATTTGCTGGAATGAATTATATTATTGATCATATCATGTATTTATATAAGAGCATTTACAATCATTCCAATAGATCAAGAATCAATTATTGTCTTGCAATTTATCATCCTATAGAATTAATTTTACAATAAAAAACCTAAAGTATACAAGTTATCTATTTCTAACAAGATTCTTAACACTCCTCCTCAAGTTGGAGAATGAATATCTTGCACTCCCAACTTGTAGATTATAAGTACAAAATTTTCTTTCTCCAAGAGTTTGGTAAAGATATCTGCCAATTGATGCTTATAGTTTACATATCTTGTTATCATAGAACTGTCTTAAACCTTGTTTCTAATATAGTGGAAATTCATCTTGATATGTTTAGTGTGCTCGTGAAAAACTGGGTTGGCTGCAGTATGCAATGCAGCTTTGTTACCACGATATAACAAAGCAGGTTCATGATGCAAAAGCTCTAAATCCCTCAGAAGGCATCGGAGCCATGTCAACTCACAATATGCTCATATCATCGCACAATACTCTGCTTTTGCAAAGGAGAGTGAAACTGTTTTCTGTTGTTTTGATCTTTAAGATATCAATGAAGGGCCAAGGAACATGCAGTACCCTGTGGTAGATCTCATAGTTAATGAGCAACCTGCCCAATCTGAGTTAGAATAAGCCCTCGACTTGAAATCAGTGTTCGAGGAAAAGAATAGGTCTTGACCAAGCGTACCCTTCAGGTATCGAACGAAGGGTTATTTTCATATGAAGCTTTTGGGATTGATGCATAAATCTACTCAAAACATGTACAACATAGGTGATATTTGGTCTTAAAACAGTCAAATAAATCAATTTACCAACCAGTCTCCTAAAACGACTCGAGTTTTTAAGCAAATCGCTCTTGTCCGACAATTTTAAGCCATGTTCCATAGGGGTATCGATAGGAGCTACACCTAATAACCCTACATCCTCAATAATTTCTAATACATACTTTCGTTGAGTAATGAAAATTCTGTTTTTGAAGGCTAAAACTCTATACCAAGGAAGTATTTTACGGGGCTAAGATCTTTAAGATGAAAATGACTGTGCATGAATTTTTTAGTCATAGCAACACTAACATAATCATTTTCGGTAATCAAAATGTCATCAACGTATATTAAAAAGGCAGTGAATGACTTATCTTGTTGTCTGGTGAATAGAGAGTGATCGGCCCGAGATTGTTTGAATCCAGCAAAGCAAATGACTTCAGAGAATTTTGCAAACCATTGGCATAATGCTTGTTTTAGCCCATATAGGGACTTATAGACATGGCACACTAACTGTTCCTCCCCCTATCGAAGAAGCCTTGGCGGCGGAGACATAAATCTCCTCTGAAAGATCACCGTGAAGGAAGACATTATGAACATCTAATTAATGGAGTGTCTATCTGCGAGCTGCAACCAGAGCAAGCAGGTAGCGAACGAATAAATATTGGCAGTCGGGGAGAAGGTGTCCTGATAATCAATTCCCTCAAGTTGGGTGAAACCCTTAGTAACCAAATAGGCTTTTAATCTCTCCACAGAGCCATCAAATCGGTGTTTGACCTTGTAGACCCACTAGTAGCCAATCAAAATCTTGCCTGCTGGTAATGAAGTAAGGGACCAAGTGCCATTATGTTGAAGTGCCTATAATTCAGAATGCATAGTTGCTTGCCATTCAAGATAGGCAGCAACTTCTAAATAAGAATAAGGTTTCTGTGATACGGCTGATTCTAGCAACAAAGGAGCGATGTAGAGGTTTATATCTATAGTAGAAAATATAAGCTACCAGTGGATAGTGGGTGCTTTTAGGGGGATCGGGTAGCAAGGAGGATGATTGGGCAATGTAAACATTGGAGCAGACATGGTCGCAGAGTTTGGTTGGAGGGCTAACATGGCGGCTAGATTGACAAGGCGAGGTGGGTGTGGGTGTTATAGTGGTGTTTGTGTTAATGGAGGGGGTTAGTGGTTCAAGTATGTCCGATTCTAGTGAGAGAAGAGTGGATGGGGGGTTAGGGTGAGCAATCAGGAGTGATTGATTGATTGATTGTGGGATCGGTGGGCTTTGGGCGATGATTGTATATGCAGAGAGTGGCGAGGGGGTAGGTGGGGAGATTGTGTGTCTGATGGGTGAATTGGGGTGTGCAATGATGGTGGTTTTGGCGATGGAAAGGGGAAGGAAAGATTGTGATTGGGGGTAATTAAGGGAATGGGGCCAGGATTGTAATGTGGGGAAGAAAAAGTGGGTTTGACATTTGCAGATGAAAAGGTATTTTCATGAAATCACACATCACGGCTAGTAAAAATCTTGTTGTTGGATAAATGAAATAATTTGTATGCTTTTTAATTAGTAGGGTAACTGATAAAAACAAAAGGAATGGAATGAGAAGCGTAGATATTGATAGCATAAGCTAAACATTCAAATATACGAAGATGAGAAAAAGAAGGTTGTTTTGAATAGAGAAGTTCAGAAGGATTTTTGAAAAAAAGAACAGGAGAAGGGAGTCGATTGATGATGTGGATAGCAAGTAAAGGTATATTCACCCCAAAATTAAAGTGGGAGTTGAGCATGAAATCTTAAAGCGTGAGCTATTTGTAAGATATGAGTCATATGATAATGCTTGTGTTCCACAACTCTATTTTGTTGAGGCGTGTAAACACAAGAATGTTGGAAAAAAACAAATTTTTCTTAAAAGAAAGGGCAAAGTAAAAGAAATTCTCCTTCATTATCACTTCGAATAATTTTAATGTAAACTTCAAACTAAATGAGAACATAATTGAAGAAGTTTTTTAGAAGTGATTATGCCTTATTTTTATATAATTTTAATTAAAGTTACAGTTTTTGACTGCAATATCTTTTAATTTTTCATAAAAAAGTTTATTATTTTTTTTAATGATTAAAAAAGAGCAAAAATAATTAACTTATGCTTTCATGTTACATTATACTATTCTTTTACTACACTAATAGCACAAAAAAGAAGAAGATGATTTTGTTCTAGAACTGAAATAAAAAAAATCAACAGGACTGGACGTTAAGTAATTTTTTTTTTTATTATCATAGCATGATATAATTCTATGTTTCTCATGAAAAATTAATTGATATTGCCATTCCAACCATAACATCTAAAAATATATTGTTAAACTAATTTTTTCGATTTCATATCATTTTGCTATTTATTTTAATTTTACATGCTAAAATCCTAATTTATCCGTTGTTTTGGGAGGGTGTTATGGAGTTTTTGCGCTGGCTTCTTTTTAGTTTAGCGGGCTTCTTCTCCCCCAACTTGTCATGGGTTCAGAAAGGGGTTGGGTTTTCGCTTGGGAAATGTTTTTTTTTTTAAGTGTCACGCATGGTTTTGCAATCCAGTTTAGTTTAGCAGGTCGGTTTAGAACCCAAATTGGGTTGAAAAAATAAAAAAATAAAAAACTTGGTGTGATTTGACTTACTTAACAGATTAATCTGGTCATTTAGTCCAATATTTGGTTATACTCAGTTAATTTTTATTGTTTTTTACTAAAATAATATTATTTTAATTTAAAAAATTAATTCAATAAGTTGCTAATTTAATCAAAACATAATAATTCAGTTAAAACTTGAAAACCGAATCTGAGACCATATTAAAAAAAAAAAAATGATGTCACGTCACACCAGCCTAATAAAAAATAAAATTTGCGGATTTGGGACTTACACATCGACGAGTAAATCAAAACTCTCTCCTCTCTCATGTCATTATTAGTGTGAAAAAAATTCTATCTTGGCAAGAAAGCTTATCCGGAGATAGGAAGATCCAATGCAATTAATTGGCGTTAAAGGGCTTAAATCCATGATTGATAAGGAAGCTGATATTATATCACATATCATGCACCATGCAGATCTCTCCAGGTTTCTCTCTTCCTCTCACCTCCTGAATTTGGGGATTCTTATTTTGCTTGATTTGGTTGGTGAGGAAAAAATAAGCATGAGATTTTGATTTGTTTTGAGGTGTGATATTTCTATTTCAATGATTTTGTTTGATTTGTCAGTGAGGAAAACATGGGTTTCTGGAATGTCTGAAAAATATGGTTCCAGATATTAGGGAGTTAACTTTTGCTTGAATGTATCTGGCATTACCAGGTCATCAACCTTCATCTGCTACTGCTCTTCCTGAAGGCCTTGGCATGAAGCACGGCAAAGCCCAAAGGGCAAACCAGTTTCTGGAATCCTTGAAAGCAGAAGATGAAATGATTGTTGAAGACATGCAGCTATCAATGTTAGCCCAATATACATCAACTGCTCAAAAGCTAACTGATCCCTGTCACTTTGACCGCTGAGAAGAAACTCAATGTCACTCTAAAACGGGATGGTGGAATGAGTAACTTCGATGTTCAAGGGAAATTATCACTTCAAATTCTTAACCAAGAAGATGGGTTCATCCAAGTTCAGGTCTACCATCAATCTCTCTCTCACACTCTTTGTCTCTGTTGTGCATGCCTGATTGAGGTAACAAAAAAAAAAAAACATCTACGTGATTATTAAAAGAAATATTTTATGTATTATTAGGTAATTAAGAGATGACTTTGCATCCATGACTTTAAATTGTGAGAACTTTCAAGTTTTCACTGGGAAATATCTTGACCATCATCTTTTATTTGTGAGCAAAAGGGTTTCTACCATCTTCCTAGGTTTACTATTGTTTATGAGCAGGATGCTCATCTTTCCAAGTCAGCCTCTAATTTATTACTGCTCTTTTCTAACTAACTAGAATTTACATAAACATGTGAAATACATACACTTAACTTGATAAAGTTCGCTTCTTAATTTGGTCTATATCATCTGCAGCCATAGTGGGATATTGCTGAAGGGTTGGACCATTTATAGTAAATCACACCATCCTCTCTCATGAATAAAATGCTTTTGAAATAAATTGTTTCTATATCTTATAATGGCTACTTAACATTTACAGATAACTAGAATTTCATACCCTTTGGCGAGACTTTCAAACATTTAGTAGCATAAATATGTGTGTGTGTGGCTTTGATTTTGAAGTTACTGCAGTAGCTTCTATGCTTGGTATTATTAACATCATGATGTCTATTTTGTTTTGCAGATTGAAACTAGGGGAATCCATGCGTCATTTTCAAGACACATCCTAACATGAACAAAGAATTATTCGCTAATGAAAGCATTTTAGGCTTGAGGGATCCCAACAGACCTTTCCCACTGGTCAAAACAGGGATCCAGGTGTTGGACTTTGAAGTGGAGAATGCAAAGAGTTGATGAGTCAATGGTGCCCCTGACACGTGGATCCAAATCTAAAGCAATAGCTTATCTGATCACTTTACACTTTCTGTTGTATGTTTTAATGCTGTGTTTAATTCTATTGCAGTCGATTGCTGGCCATTTGATTCTGGAAATGAAACATGTGTCAGCATTGAGTATGAAGCTTCATTAATGCTTGATCTATGAAACATTATGATTTCAGTTGCTCTACCAGCCCTTCGAGATGCACCAAGGGTTAGGCAGATTGATGGAGAACAGAAGTAAGATTTTGCTCCCTTATATTGTTGTTTCATTGGTGTATCAAGTTGAAATTAATTTGGTGGAGATCCATATGTTGGGTGGAGTAGAAATTGTCAATTCAAGTTTCGCTGCATTTCTCTAAAAATCAGTAACATTTAACTTTGATTTCCATTAAAGTTACTTTAAAAAAACTAACACGCCCACTTTACACTTCTATAGCGCCTTCTTTTAATCAATCAGCTATTCAACCGACACATTGGTTTTTCCAGCCTTGCAGCTTCTCAGACAGCACTTGAAGAAATCACAACAGCCTTTGGAATTTCTACTACATGATGCTTCCCTTTCAAGCGCTGAGAAACACAGGCGGTCTGCATAGCCCTTCACAAAGGTCTTGTTCCACAAATACTTACCACATTCTAAACATATTTTTCTGTAATTCTATCATCTGTCTCATAGTTTTTTTACCTATTGCCTTAGACAAATACTTACCACATTCTAAACATATTTTTCTGTAATTCTATCATCTGTCTCATAGTTTTTTTACCTATTGCCTTAGACAAATACTTACCACATTCTAAACATATTTTTCTGTAATTCTATCATTTGTCTCATAGTTTTTTTACATATTGCCTTGGACACTACAACTACAATTGGGATGATAATAATTATCATATCCATTTGTCCAAAAACATCATTCACCTTTATCTCTGTTGGTTTTCCCCTTTCCCTGTAGAGAAATAGACATCTGTTAATCATGATGACAGTCTATGTCATGTTCATTTTTGCTGGAAAGCATCCACTCAACCTGATTCGAAAGCAATCAAGAAGTGAGGATAGAATCTTTGACCTCTGTTTTTGAACTCAAGACCTTTTGTTAAACCTTTTGAACCATTGGTATTTTAAGGAAATAACTAGGCCTGGCTTGGTTTGGTAGGATAGACATGTATAAAACCCTTTTTTTCTTATTGAAAGTGGACATAAGTTTCCGAACATGAATTCATTGCGAATCATACACATGTATGCGTGTATTTTTAGACACGCATTTTGGTTACAAGATCAAACTACTATATAACTTATCTTTCACATCATTTTTTCACAATTATTCCACTTATAATCAGATTACTTTCCCTTTTCTCTTTGCAGGACCTCTAACGTAGACATGCAATCAAATCAGCATTACTTTGGATCTCTCCTTTATGTACAGATTTCAGCTTCTTTTTGCTTGCTTCAACTGCAGTATGCCTTTTCGCTTTGAAACTCCTTTCATGTTTATATACTAACATAAACTCTTGCATCAGTTTATATATAGTTTTGCATACACAAGTTCACCTTATTATAACATCTACTTTGTATGAAACACCACTGAAGTTTTTGTAGAACAATTTTGGTGTTATGTATCCAATTGTTCCTCCTGCTGTAGTAACTGTGACAGTTTATCATCTCCCATTTAATATCATTAAAATGGATAAAAAGCCAACCTAATATTTTAGAGCTAAAATCGCCATGAAATGTTAATTGTGATTCATTATATACATGATACAACTTGACCCTTGTGGTGCTTAACATTGATTCTTACACTAGTCTCTCTACATCTTCTTTGTCTGATTGAACAGGTATAACAAGTATTGACATAGATAAAAACGCACACAAATATATACACATTGCTAGAAGTGATGGTGAGACCGCTTTTTGGTTAAATCTTCTATTTACTATGTAGTGTTAAATCTAGATTGTTCAATATGAGACTTGATTAAATTTCAACTAGGATTGTGATCTATGATCTTAAATGAACCTTCATCACTTTTCTGTTGAGGCATGCCCATGCATTCAACAATGACTTTCAATCCTTCATTGCTTGGAACAAATAATTTCCTCTGGAAATAGGGAACCTAGTTTTGACCTGTTAAGAATCCTATTAGAAATAAATAACTTGTATGCTTTAGTTTCCTACTGTAAAACTAATTCTATAAGATGATAAACTGCAGGACAGTAATTGATTCCTAATTTATTGGAATGACTATAAATGCTCTTGTATAAATACATGATATGATCTATAATACAATTCATTCCAGCAAATTCTATTCTCTCTTTTTAATTCACATGGTATTAGAGCTAAGGTTGAGATCCTAAATCCATAATCCTTAGCATCTTTTCTTTCATCCTTTCCTTTCCATTGTCTTTTATGGATTCTTCAAAAACAAGTATCTCAAGTCTCTATTTCATCGACCATTCAGATCATCTAGGATTAGTCCTAATTTCAAAACCATTAAATGGAGACCATTATTCTAGTTGGAAAAGAGCTATGACTCTGGCCTTAAATTCTAAGAATAAATTAGGCTTTGTCAATGGCTCAATCAAAGCTCTCTTAGAAGAAATTAATCATGAAGAATATGCAGCATGGTCTCAGTGCAACGATATGGTTCATTCTTAGATTATCAACACTCGTAGCCTGGAAATCTTAGATAGTGCGATCTACTACTCAACCGCCCATGAAGTATGGGAAGATCTTCATGAACGATTCTCCCAAAGCAATGCACCTCGCATCTTTGAAATTCAGCGAGACATTGCTTGCCTCCAGCAAGAATAACTCTCAGTCTCTATGTATTACACGAAATTGAAAAAGTTGTGGGATGAACTATCCTCTTATAACGACACCAAGATAGGGAACACAGTAGTAACAACAAAAATTGATGTAATTTTTAATGGGATTGAATGATTCTTATAGTGTCATTCGCGGACAGATCTTGTTGATGAATCCCCTCCCTTCAATTCATCAAGTATACTCCTCCATCTCATAAGAAGAGAAACAGCGTCTTCTAAGCTCAATGCTTACAGGTGATTGTTCTGGTAGCAATGCCACCATGGCAGTTCGACACGACAACAGTAGCAAAACTAACAATTTTAGTGCAGGAACAAGAAGACTCGAGCGGTTCGAACACTTGTACGGGTCACATAATTTCAAATCGTAGGAGAAATCACTAAAAAAATACCAGTGGAGGACGATGATTTCAGCATGACAAACAACGCTTTATCGGAGGCCGAGGATGCCTTTATTGTTCACATTATGGAGAAGTGGGTCATTGGGTACAAACTTGCTATAAATTATACAGGTACCCACCGGGTCACCTAATGGCAAGGTATGGGTCAAGGTCAAAACATTTCAACAACAAAAATTCTATAGCCAATCATGTGTCCAAAGAAGCCTCTGTAGAAGATGGACAACCACTTATCGGGATTTCACAGGAACAATTAAAATAGCTCTTATCACTTTTAGATAATAAAAGTAAAGGACCCAGCTCATGCAAATATCGTATCTAAACCAAGTTTGTCTGAGGTCAATTCCCGTAGTTGGATCATTGATAGCGGAGCAACAAATCACATTTCTTCTAAATTATTTTCTAACAAGCATAAAAAATGCGCATTGCCTCCAGTATTACTGCCTAGTGGAGAAAAGGCTAAAATTGTTGCAAATGATTCTTTACCTCTTAATTCTGTCTATTATCTGTACAATATGTTATATGTACATACATTTAAAGTAGATTTGATATCTATCACTCGTTTGACGAGAGACTTGAATTGCTCAATAATTTTCTTTCCTTATTGGTGCTTTTTGTAGGATCTGGTTATAAGGAGAATGATTGGTTTGGATAAACAACATAATGGACTTTACTATTTGGTGGCTCTGGCGACAAAGTGAAATATGACCAAACCTTCATCCACCATTATCCAACCAACTTGCCACTTTACCATCTCATCCACCTATCTCTTGCATCATCGATTAGGCTATACATCACCTTCCCGTTTATGTTTTATTGCCAAAAAATTTTAAAATTTTTCCATTCAATCCAACACTACTTGCTTTGGATGCTTTATGGCAAAACAAAGTTGTTTACCTTTCACTCTTAGTGTAATTTTCTCTACAAAACTTTTTGCAATGATTCATTGTGACATTTGAGGTCTTTATTGACACCCTTCTCTCTCTATTGTTGATTGTAACTTATTAGACACTTTATAATTATTGAAATTATAGGTGTTGCTAAAGTCTATCATAATAAAAAGTGGATATTTATCCATTTTTTTAGTCATTTTAAGAATATAAAATCCACTAACACCATTCACTATATTGATGGATATACGAGTAATAGTTTTAGAATTGAAATCATTGTTTTTTTTTCCTTCCTTTAGATCATCATCATGTTCTATAATATAAAAAAATAGTTTCTTATTTTAAGTTTGTATCGTGGTACAAACTTCTTTTCATGCTTAGAGCATAACTTCTTAACTCTTCTCTCGTCTAACTTTTTATTTCTTAATGATTTGGTTGGTTTGAAAAATCATTTATTATGAAAATTAAGTCAGTATAGATGACAAACCAAGTTGGTATAATTTTAGAGTATTAAAAGTAAAAAATGTGTTTCTATTAGAGGTAAGATGTTGATTAAATCTGAGTTGATTAGTTTGGGTCATGGTATGTGTAGAATATTTAAAGTTGTTATGGTGGTTGTCATAATTTAATTTTTGGAAATTTTTAAAAATTAATAAATAAAAAAAAAAAAGAGATTTTTCTTGATTAGGGATCCAATTGTTAAATATCAGAACTTTAGTGGTCAAATTAAAAATAACCATTTTTGTTGACAACGACGCCATTTGAAATCGGTGTTCATCATCATCTTTCAAAAACCTAAAGACCGAATCAACAGGAAATGCAATCAAAAGAAATCATAGACCACATTTCCAGTTGTTATCCATGATGCGCCATTAGTCCTGCAATGAACGTGCTTATGCAAGCACGATCAAAGGGGTATTCTTTGGCTTTATAAAACCAGAGAAAGGATCACAGAGAAAGGGAAGGAGAGACGAGCAAAATACAAAGGGGGAGCAAAACGAAAACATAGAGATAAGGGAACAAGAGAACAACACGGGACAAACGAACAAAAATGAAGGGAAAAACAAAGACAGAGAGAACAAAAACAAAGACTAAAGACAGAACTTACAGAGAGAGACAGACATACATAGGGATGGAGAAAAACAAAGAACAAGGGAACACGAAGAAGAAAATAAGACATATAGGATAGAGCGTTTGGTCAGCCTGCATACCATCATCAGCTTCGTCTCCAGTAGACTAAGGAAGTCTCTCTTCTCTTTATCCTTGTCTTGCAATATTAATTTAGTGACACTGCACATAGACAATTTTAATTCACCTCCTACTGTTCATTGTTTAATTCATTGATTGTTCACGCATAACCGGATCACTCGTGCCTATTGTGCCCTGCCGGTCAGTGGTTTGAACCAGTGACCAGGTTGGGTGTAGCCCAGCCAAATAGGCTGGGCTCGACCCATAACCCAAAAAAAAAATCATTTATGGCCCAAGCTTAATTGGCCCAATTTATTATAAATTAAGGATGTGTTTGGTAAAATACTGTATTTTCCTTTCTATTTAACATTATATATATATACACACACACACTCAAACATGCATTTTCAAATATCAGAAAATCTCAAAAAAAAAAAAATCATGGACCTTTTGAGTTTATTTATAGGCCCTTCATATTTTTTTAGTATTTCACTATATAATTGATTTGTGGATTTTTATTATGAAATGCAAATCCGATATATAATATATATTTTTTTAAAAAAAAATATGCATTGATTTAAATTCATTTTATTAGTTTATTCACTGACATTAGATCCAAGAATATCATATATTTTTTGGCTATGTAATACTTACCAACGCTAGAGTTGGAAGTATTCGTAGTTGAATATTTATTTATGCTAGAGTCAAGAATATCACAAACAGGCTATCATAATATAAACCAATAAACTCTTAGTAATTTAAGACAAAAACTGCGAGACAGTCTATCTCAAGTAAAACGTTTAAGAAGTGATAATATCTTATATTTTGCGTAACCAGTCTCATATCATAGAATCTTTATTGACTGGTTAGGATTTCTAGTGACCATAATACTAGATAACAACTCTTTAAACAAGATGTTTTCCTATCTAAGAACAAGATATTAAAAAAAAAAATTATAATTTATAATTTTTAAAAGTTATCTTGATATTAGGTGCAACAATGGTTTTTGCAATAAGACATGATATTTTCTTGTAAGCGAGTTAAATTATAGGCTTGCTTAGGTTCTTAATCTCCACTTCCAAACCATTATAAAAAACACTAAGGCTTGCTTTTCACTAATCCCTACCTTATCCTATAAAATATTAAAATTTTGGATGTAAGCCTCTAGTCTCTTTTTTTTTGTTTAAGATCCTTCAACTCTTTTAAAGGAACCTTTTTTTTCTCTAAACCCACAACATAAGGTCTCTGTATACTCATCCTAGGAGATCTGTTGACCACTTAAACTTTTGTTGACCACTTAAACTTTTTATGAAACTTTAATGCCAATAAAGAGTCATATCACCTAATTAATAAGAGGTTAATTTAAGTTTTTCAGAGCAATCTATCTTCTCATATAAAAAATATCGATTGTATTTATAAAGCTATTTATATACATCATTAACATCAAAGCATGAAAAATCCCTTCTAGGCTTATGTACCTTGTAAAAGTGATGTCATTCTTCACATCTACAGCAAGGTTTTAAAGCAGAATCTCCACTGTGAAGGTTTCGGTAAACTTTCATCGGACCATGTTCAACAATAGTTGATTATAGCTTCTACAAAATCGAGCCTTGTTGAAAAAAGAGCCATAATAATGTCCTTTAGCTCTTATATTCTGGATTTATGGTCAGCTTAAATTAACACTTTCTAGTTTCTGCCCATAAACTTTCAGTAACTTCATCACTTGCTCATATTTTTGCAAATGTTCCCTACTAATAGTCACGGGAATCCTCTAGTTTTCTTAGATCTTGGACCTTATGTTAGGTGCCATGCCTAGTGTTCGAAGATCCAAGGCATAGCAAATGAAATGACAATTGAATCAATATCAACAGTCGCCAGAGGTAATGAAAACCAACTTAAAATATAAAATGTTTTAATAGTGAAGGAGAGAGAAAGAGTGAGAATCTAGTCAATTCATCACTTTTTCCTTATGAGCAAATTATTTGCTCTCATTATGTTACCTGGTAGGAGCAATTCTAGAATCATATCTACCACCAAACTACACGTGACAAGCTTTTCCATAATAATTATAAAAAAAAAAACCAACTTAAAACCCTGTATTCTTTCTTAAATTGAATTAGACTCCTGTCTTCCATTTCTCTTGTAAAAATTAATGGAGATGGTTTATATAAGCTGTTTATGTTAAATTTAGTGCGTTAATTGCGTTCAAAATAAATATTATTTGTCTAAAATTTGATTAAATTATTTTTTTTTAGTATTTTAAAATCGTTTTGATATACTGATATCAAAAATAAATTTTAAAATTTTTTATAAAAATTATTTTTATATATTTACGAGTGAGAAGGATTTTGAGATATAATATGTAACACACTTCTAAACAGTCACTTCTAAACACTCACTTATATATTATAGTGTTGTCATTCTTAATCATGTGTATTTCTTTTTTTTCTTTGAAATAAAAAAAAAAAATAATCAAATGATGAAGAACGCTCTGGCTAAACAGATACAATTAAGTTGTGCAGGTGTGATATAAAATAAATTTGGGACAATAAGGAACTGGGATTAAGTTTTAAATGGGTAGAATCTGTGCTCATTTTATTACTCAGAACAATGTGTGAAAGACATCATGATAAAAAAGTATTAATACAGTCAAATTAAATAAAAACAAAAAACAAAAACTAACTGAAATAACCAATTTAATCAAAATCTGACCCCTATACACACCGAGTGTCCAAAGCCATGGAAGTAGTTTATTGAGGTGGAGAACACAAGTCTAAACGAGGGCATCTAGCCCATAGATGGCCTGATAATACATGATTGATAAATATTTCCCAGCCCAGTTAAGGCCCTTCATTTTCGACATGGAGATTCTGTCAATGGTACAGCAAGTTACTTCAAGGGACACCATATTCGTACCTGCTACGGAAGCAGCATGAAATAACAAGGAAGCATCCTAGAAGCAGCAGCAGCCATTCCCATGAGCCAGCAAAAATCCAACTCCTTTCACCTAATTCTACAATAACTTCACTTTCCATTAACGAAGTTGCATATTTATGTGCTTTGAACTTACTCTTGCCCCTCACTCTCTAAGCCGTACTATACATATAGGAGGCATTAATTTCTTAGTTATAATTTCATCTATATAAGAGTGCTATGGCTATCTTGGTAGATCTCTTTGAAGGGGTATGTCTATGTGTTTCAACTCTGTGGGATCTGCAAGAAATGCGCTTTGCGAATGTGTTTGATGGTGTAAGTTCCATTGCAGCGTCAATATTCATGGCTGCTGTATCGTGTTTTATAGCTATAAGGAGACGATGAAATTAACCATTAATTTGTTTCTGATGATTTTCAGCAGGCAGGACATGGACTGAGTTGTTTTACTCTTGATAGGTTTGTTTGTATTGTTGTTGCTAGTACCGAGTGGTGCATGGTAAATATAACATCAGAGCACCACACCAAGGAGCATTGGTTGGAATGGTTTTTGTTGTTCGTTATTTTCTTTTTCCTCAAATTCTTAATATCTTTTTGTGT